CTTAGCCACTTGAGCCACAGGCGCCGAGCCAAATGTTACTTTCTTAGAGTTAATTTCCCGTACTGTATCAGAAATGGACATAAGAAAAACCACTATTTCCTCTTTACTCCCTATATTCCCTTGCCTTATTCTTCCTTATCATAATTTGGTTACATCATTTATTTCTTTATTGCCTTTCTCCCCTAATAGCATACATTTCTTTTCACCTCTGTATCTTAACACCTGGAACAATGCAGGCACTTAGTAAATAATATGTTAAATAAAATTATCCATATGCTAGTATACCTAATTTCCTTTACTTGACTGCAAGCTATTTGAGGGCAGAATTTGTATTGTTCCATCAGTGCACACTCTCAGCACCTACCACAGAGTGGCAGATGGTATGCAACTTAAGGACCAGGTACCAGCTCCCTCAGTATGTGACGCAGCTAATGACTTCTTTCTTTTTGAAACATTCTTCTCAGCTCAGCGCCCGTAGCTCAGTGCCTAGGGCACCGCCACATAAACCGGAGCTAGCGGGTTTGAATCCAACCTGGGCCTACCAAACAATAATGACAACTACAGCCAAAAAATAGCCAGATGTTGTGGCAGGCGCCTGTAGTCCCAGCTACTTAGGAGGCTGAGGCAAGAGAATTGCTTAAGCCCAAGAGTTGGAGGTTGCTATGAGCTGTGACACCATGGCACTCTACGAAGGGTGACATAATGAAACTGTCTCAAAAAAACCAAAGAAACATTCTTCTCTTAGTACCCATGATATCCCACTTCCCTTCTTGCCCTTCAATCTCTCTGGTCTCTTTTTCTCAGTCTCCTTTTAAGGTTCTTAAGAAGAAGAACCACCTTAAATCTGATGCTCTTCAGGGATACATCCTGGCTCCTCTCCTCTTTCTGCAATACATTTTTCTCTTTTCAATGGCTATGATTTCCAGGTCTCAGTTTCCACCTCATAGGTCTTATATCCAAAAGCTTACCACCAGATATCTCCACTCAAGCTGAACATATCCAAAATTGAACACATACCCTCCCTCAAATATATCACTTTCAACCTATTAAACTTGGTCATCATACTGTGTACTCTTCTCCCAACATCCAGGCAGCTAGGCACCAAGTCTCATTATTGATGTTTATTTCCTAATTGGCTCTCCTAATATATCTATTTCTCTTTATTTGTCCAAACTCCTAACTGTGACAAAAGGGTTCTCTGTTGTCTATGATCTGACCTTTGTTTTCATTCTTTGCAGTGCCAATTGTCAATATTCTCCATCATCTCTCCTTACCAGATTCTCTAATCATGCTATCCCAAATGAGCTTTTTTTTTTTTGGCTGGGGCCAGGTTTGAACCCGCCGCCTGTAGTATATGGGGCCAGTGCCCTATTCCTTTGAGCCACAGGTGCCACCCCCAAATGAGCTTCTTAAAAGAAGTTCAAATGTTCAGTTAATATTTGCTTCAGGTCCCTTTATCTGCTACCACTATATTCTTTTTGCTTCCACTAGGAAGCCTTCCCTAATACATCAAGCCTGGTTTAAATGTCCTTTCTATTATACTCCCATAGTATCAAATCCTTATTGCATTATACTTGCTTATTTATCTGACCCCATAAAGTCAGGGACCATATCTAACTTACTACTGTATCTCCAGCACCTGGCACAATAAGCATTTGTTTAATAGAATTAATCAATTAATCCATGATACATAGTATAGTTGGAAGAAAGGAAGCCAAATCTCCTAGGAAAACAGAACAAATGCTGGGCAGAAAAAAACCACCTTTTCTAAAAAAGAGGAATAAGCTGTTCAGAAATGTTTAAGAACTTATGCACAATAAATTGGAAAAAATGATTCCCTCTTAGGAGGAAAACTACATCTGAAAAACTGGTAGGAAAGAGAATTAATTTTCATAATATATCCCTTCATAACTTTTCATTTTTTGTACCGTGTATTTAAAATTTGTTTTTATACTTTTATTGAACCAAAGCTTCAATACACTGGTGCTTTGCATCCTTACCTTTATTGTAACAAAAACTCAACTTGTCTTAGATAAGTGTGTGAAATGCTCAAACAGTACAATTACCTATTGTGATTAACAATATTTAAGTCTGTTGATATCTACTAGCATGGGCTGTCCTGTCCCATTGCATTAGTACCATATGTAAAGCCTCAAGGAGGAGAATTTTATATCTTTTTCCTTTTCTTGCTAATGTACATGCTTCACTTTATTTTTATTTATTTATTTTTTTGAGACAGAGCCTCAAGCTATCCCCCTGGGTAGAGTGCTGTGACATCACAGCTCATGATAACCTCCAACTCCTGGGCTCAAGCGAGTCTCCTGCCTAAGCCTCCCAAGTAGCTGAGACTACAGGCACCCACCACAACACCCAGCTATTTTTTGGTTGCAGCTGTCATTGTTGTTTTGGTGGGCCAGGCTGGATTCAAAACCCGCCACCTTAGGTGTATGTGGCTGGCACCTTAGCCACTTGAGCCACAGGCACCGAGCCGCTTCACTTTGTATTAAAACCACACTGGATACCACTCAAAAAATGTGGTGGGGAAGAAAAAGCAAAATAATACTCCATCCCATTTCTTCCCTTTTTCCTTTGATTAGTGCAATGGGCTCTAAGCCAATCAGCAGCAGCCTTTGCTTCTCAGATTCCTTGCTAGGCTACTATGACTATTAATCACTCTGGAGTACCCTATAACATACCCTTTTAAAACTGCTACAAGAAATGAACATTCCTCTGGGCTCCAACTGAATATGTGTAAATAAAATAATGACTGTGTGTCCTAATTTTTCTAAGAGTACATACATGCCTTTCCCTCAAATTACAACCTTCATTTCTCCCTGTTCCTTCACCTGCACTGTATTTTTACCTACCAAGGAGGAGAGTACTATGAATAGCCAAACCCTGATTCTACTTACAAAACTGTGGGAAGAAACTGAAGCTTCCTCCCTCTCTGAGACAACGGCGCCGCTGAGACTGCGTGAGATGCGGCGAAAGTTCTCTGCACTGTACTGCTCATCCTCCCCACACTCCCTGCTGAGGCCTCGGCAAGGTGCAGCCTTCAAACACACAGACACATATAGGCAGACACATAACACCAGACTTGTGGTCTTCCCTCAGACCCTGTCCTCACGGATATGGGAAAGAATACAGAAAGACCCAGTAGTAGACACCAAATTAGATCTATTTGTAAGGTAGTAGCCATGTAGCAATCTCTTCTCACATTGCCAAGAGTCTACCTTACCATCAACTGTACCACTCCCATCTCTCCACACTCCCTTCCCCAACACACCCCCCAGGCCTAGCACTTTAGCATCTGAGGCTGCTACCTGAGAAGCAGGCACTGTGCTGGCTTCACGGAGACTGTGCTCCATTTCTGTTGTTGGGGTCTTTGAAAGACCATGACCAGGGGCTGAGTGCAACCTCCTCCCCATACCATCTGCAGAGCCTGAGGAAGAAAACAGAAATAGAAGTTGAAGCCATCTCTTCTGTGGCATAAGCTTTGACCCTGGCAGCACAAACTCAGGAGTTCTTGTTTCATTAAATGACAAATAAGTTCCCCTGAATCCAATGGAGGATGTGCTCCTGAAATTTAGAAACAAGATTTTCAGAATAGTTTTCTGCAGGCCACAGAGGCTCAGCTAAAAGCCCTTTTAGACGTTTCTAGAGAAAGGGCTCTGAGGACAGACAGCTGAATGTCCTCATCTTGCTTTATTTCATTTTTGTAAACATAATCAGCTTCTGTCAGACTTGGGCCCAAGACTTATAATATATACACAGGAAATTATTTGACATAGTGATTTTCTAGAGAACCTGTAGTGACAAAAGAAACTTATCTCCAGGCTAGCTCATTACTAAAATGATCATAGTAATCACCTGTCATACCTTTTCATTTTATGTAATAGGAAAATGAGTTCTAGCATCTGACAGGTAGTAAGTAGTTTAACCATGATTATAATTTAAGTCTCTTGAGTTTCAGCATAGTACTCTTTATCCTCTCACCTGGTAACCATTTACTTATTACTCTGAAGAGAGAGGCTTTTTAGGAATATTTCATATTTGCGTAATGATCTTTTATCCCCCCCTTAGCTTCTCTCAATCACCTAAATTCTAAACAACCACATGCTTATCTCCTCAAAATCTTTCTAGATTGTTCAGAGAAGAGGTGCTCTACACTGGATGTAACTCCCAATGGGCTGTCCCCAATCTGACTAATTAAGTCTTCTATTCTGAAAATGTACATACCCTTGACCTACATCTGCTACATATGTGGCCAACTGACATCTTGATTTGATATTCTGATTCTAATATATATAGTACATATGTGTATATATATATTTGGTTAAAGCATGATATTGCTGATATAAGTACTGAACATCAGTTTTTTTCTTTCTTTTTTTTTTTTTGAGACAGAGTCTCAAGCCTGGGCTTAAGCGATTCTTTTGTCTCAGTTTCCCAAAGTAGCTGGGACTACAGGCGCCCACCACAACACCCAGCTATTGTCTGGTTGCACTTGTCATTGTTGCTTAGTAGACCAAGGCCAGGTTCAAACCTGCCACCCTAGGTGTACTGGCTGGCGCCCTTGCCTACTGAGCTATGGGTGCCACCATGACCAGTTATTTTCAATTATTTCCTTGTGCTTGGCTCACGGCCCTTAGCACAGTGCTTATGGCATCAGCCACATACACCTAGACTGGCGGGTTCGCACCCAGCCCAGGCCAGCTAAACAACAATGGCAACTGCAACAAAAAAATGGCTGGGAGTTATGGGGAGCACCTGTAGTCCCAGCTCCTTGGGAGGATGAGGCAAGAGAATTGCTTAAGCCTAAGAGTCGGAGGTTGCTATGCGCTCTCACACCATGGCAGCACTCTGCCAAGGGTAACACAGTAAGACTCTGTCTCAAAAAAAAAAAAAAAAAA